GGTCGGAGATGTATTTGTTTATGTGAAAAATGTTCAAACGAGTGGGCGGTTGACTGGTGTTAAGTGGTTGCCGCCACCCCTGGAGCAATGAAAGGTTTTAGATGCGTTAACAATCTTTTAAACTTGTGCCCTGATGACCGAGGCATCAGACGAAATGCGATAGTATTATACTTCCTCTACATGCTGGTCTTCTGTGAGACCGTGATACTTCCAGATGAGTCTACCGATTTACGTAATTGCAGAAGTTGATAAGTGACACTACCATGAAATTATTCAGATGACGTCACCGGCCCGTCCCCTAACAATAGCTAGGTTAAAATTAGCAATAGCTATTGCTAATTTTATCCTAATATTAGTTTTTACAATGCGTTGGATGAAAATAGATTTTTTTTAAATCGCAGAGATGCTTTCAAACTCCTCCGGTCCAGTCGAATGAAATGAACCGCGATCTGAATATATTTGAGTTTAATAGATAAATTATTATTATCGTAACATTGTATTGTACCCAGACGATCCAGCCTTGGAAAAAGCTCAATGGCCGATACCACATTAGGTTTCATGTTGAGTGCAGACTGGCGCTAGTAATAAAAAATAGCCATAAACTTGGAAGAAATCTTAATTGAATAGAGAAATCTCGACTTCACTTTGAATGTTTCATCTGTTTTAGCGAAACTAAATCGAAACAGGAAATGCTAATTCAAACTGCAAATGTTCCCACCCATTCGCGACGTTTATGCAAATCGTGTAGAGCAAAACACAAAAAAAAGTAATTTTAATGCTTAAGTGGGATAAATCACGGTGCCACTAAATCGGTTAAGCTTGGTTTAACCTCTTTAGATTAGGCGATTGTGCTACGCGATAAATTACAGTTATGAATAACTTCGTTTCTAAGTCCCCATGTTAGATATTTAACTGTGATTACTAAATTAAACTAAATTGGAAAAGATATTAACCTTTTGTGTCTTTATTTATTAATTTTTTGGCGTCTTTATTGTCTCACATTGTTTTTTTCACATTCTTAAATCTCTCACACATTTTTCATATTCTTAAAGGTATACTGAACCCTCAAAAGCCACGAGACTCGAGTGCTCTAGAAAGCGGTACGTTAGCAGCATCCGACTAGTTGTGTCACCTCTAATAGGCTTTTCCATCTGCTACGATGAGTGTGGAAGTTTCGCCCATAACTGGAGCGGGTAAACCGCAGCAACGAATGATGTTTCATCATTTATTTGTTCCATTTCCACATCAAAAAACAACGGTTTCTTTGGACCTTCTTTCGTACCAAAACCGACTTCCGTAAAACACTGTATTAATACCCCTAATCCGTCTCATGACTTGCAAATGTCGGCACGGTTTCCGAGCGTTTATCGGAGTGTTCTGACTCCGGACAACGCGTCACGGGCTGACGGCTAACGATGGCTGAAGACGCGCCAACCAGCTGCGAAGGTATGCCCATGCGACCGTTAAACTACGAATAATGCAGCTAGTACTGACACCCAGTCGTCTCTCAAGTATAACCATAAATCTACTTTTATGATAACCAACCCCATTGACATTTGCAATACCAGTAGAGTTGCACCTTTAAATAAAGTACGATCCTGGGCAACCTGCATCCATCAATTTCCCACACGTTTGCAGAGGTCGTGACTCCAGGTGGACTGAAACAGCTGAAATGATGATGAATAAAGTGGGCCCCGGCTACCTCGTTCACCAGTCGAAACGCAGAAGTATAACACTTATAGTTTGTGCTGGTCTTCTATGAGGTCGTGGTATTTACCCGGACGGGCCAGCGTGCGACAGCGAACAGTGTTGCTTGGCCCTACCAACTCAATAACAGCTGACGCCCTATCGTTTCTTAATTCGTACATGAATACACCAAGAATTAGGAGTTTAAAGAGTACTACTGCCTATACTACTCACGCATTATAGTTTCTTTATCCGTATAAGTATGTAGCAAAATGTAGAAGTTACCTATACTACAGACGACTAATCGTTTCTCAAATTGCACACGAATACCGTAAAAAATAGAAGTTGAAAGAATGAATGAGAAAAGGATGACAAAAATTATCCCTATAACACAATGACAGTCACAACAAACGCGAAAGTATTATACTTCCACTTTACGCCGGTCTTCTGTGAGGTCGTGGTATTTACCCGGACGAGCCTGCCCATTCGTGCAACAGCCGAGGCTGCTGCGTTGCCCTACCACAGTAAATGTAGTAAAGAAAGAAAACACACTGGTGCACGTGCAACTTTTGCCGTTGCACATGTGAAATACCATGGCCTGAAAGCGATGTATGTTTACTTTCGCGTTTGGTTTAGGGGGCTAAACCAAGGAGGGTCTAACGCAACTGCACCTCCTCAGTTCCCTAGTTGCTCATGGACGCGGTATTCACTTAACATCAGGTGGACCGCTAGTTCGTCTGCCAAATATCCCCATTTAGTTGCATCATAAAGATGGATAGGAAAGTACAGTACAAACTAACAAACGGTCACTTTAATGTATACATTTGATGGGTTGGGCTGGTCATTTAGCATAACGCCCGTAGTCTCCCAATGTCCGCGGCACCGATATGCTCTGATTAGCCCGCATTTCTATGCGAGGTCGCCCCGCGCCGGTTCAAGGCGAATATCTTATAATAATTGAACACTTAAGAATTGATATGCATAGTAAGTATAAGGTTTTTACTGCACGGTTGATGTCAGGGTAGTTGTATAGGGGAGAGTGGATATATATGTGATATATATCTGAACAGATAAATAAAATTGGAGTGTCTGTTTGTAATATTAAAATAACCGCTTTTTACTAAATGCATATGAATGTATACATGGTATACATACCATTTTTTTACAATTTTTATCTGTCTTTCTGTCTGTTTGTTCCGGCTAATCTCTGAAACGGGCGGACCGATTTGATGGACAGATAGCTGATGTAGGTAACAAGGAGTACCTTAGGCTATTTTATTGTAGAAATTTTATTATTTATTTCAAATTCCACGCGGACGAAGTCGCGGGTACAGCTAGTATTGCAATATAGTTCTTACAGTATTAGGCAAATTGACGTGAGGCTTAGATTAATTGAGGGCCATTATTCAACAGTAGTCTTCTAGCTAATTATGATAATAGTTTTTTCTTTACTGATCTGTCTATACTCGTAGCTTTGCATGAATTCAAAAATACAAAATCAAATTGAAAAATAAAACCAAATTTTACCGTACTAAGTCGGTTTAGAGAAAAAAACCAAAAAGACCGGTAAAGCTTTTTGCGAAAAAATTCAAAATCAAATTGAGAAATAAAACCAAATTTTACCGTACTAAGCCGGATTAGAGAAAACCTCCAAAAAGACCGGTGCAACACCTCTAGTGTTGTTCATGGGCGGCATTGATCCTAAATTATTTTTTTACTAGCTGCTGCCCGCGACTACGTCTGCGTAGAATAGGCTGAAGGTGTAATATTCAGACAGAAAGACAGATATACATAAAAAATGTATATAAATTGTAGCCTATGTCTTATTCTGATGTATAAGCTATGTTATTGTAAAGTTTCATTAAAATCCATTCAGTAGTATTTGCGTGAAAGAGTAACAAACATCTATCCATACATACACATAAACAGAAATTTGTTTATTAATAAAACATTAAATAAGTATATAAGAAAGAACAATTTTCGCTGTGGAACAATTTCACGAATGGGCAGGCCCGTCCGAGGCAGTACTACGACCTCAAAGAAGACCGCTGTGTAGTAGAAGTACTTTTGTGTTTCGTCTGGTGAGTGTGGTAATCGAAGACCACACTATTAAAATGTGGCAGCGCATCCGCAACCCAACAGGCCATGACCAATGCAAATGTCCAAATGTCCATGAGCGGCGGTTATTACTTAAAATCGAATGACCCGCCAGCTCGCTTGCCACCTTCCTACCTTCCCAATAAAACAAAAAGAAAACACGAGCAAATATGTAAATCCTTACTAATATTATAAAAGCGAAAGTTTGTATGGATGGATGTTTGTTACTCTTTCACGCAAATACTACTGAATGTATTTTAATGAAACTTTACAATAATGTAGCTTATACACATCAGAATAAGACAGGCTATAATTTTTATACATATTTTATGTATATCTGTCTTTCTGTCTGAATGTTACGCCTTCAGCCTATTCTACGCAGTCGTAGTCGCGGGCAGCAGCTAGTATGCTAATAAATCCTTTGAGCATGTGTTAACGGTAAAGAATTTATATATGAGTAGGCGTGAAGCTAATACTGCATATAATTACAACTACCTACGTGTTTACGAGTACATTCTAACTGACACAGTTTTGTTACAATTTCTATACCTCGTCACTGGTTCAGTACGGCCACCTGCAAAATAATCTTTCATTAAAGCGTTTAATTCATTTCATACGCGCTTTATCGGGCTGTTCCGTTATCATCGTCCAAACAAGACACTCGACTATAATGATATCATTATTAGCAGACATTACTCATTGTCGCATGTCGCAAGTATACTGAAGTTGTATTTCTTCATTTCAGATTCGCCGAGTTGTGCCGCGTGAGAGCGTTCGTTGCGAGCCGTCCCGTTCGAATTTGAAAAACTAGTGTGGAGGGGTTTTTTAATTAGGCAAACGTCCGAAATTCGAAAACGATTATTTCGAGTATTAGTGAATTTGGAAACGTGACATTAGTAATTCGAAAAGGGGTGATGAAAATATTTGTGAACTACAATACGTGACATTCGAATCGTGTTAAATTTTAATTGAGAAAAAATTATTGAATTAGTAAACGTGACATTCCAATTTATTTGCCGGAGATATTCACACGAGTCCGAGCGTGTTTAAAAATCGAAGGATCAATGTTGAAAGAAATTGAATTCTAAAACGTGACGATCGTTTTTCTCCGGTTCTATTTTTGAACTGGAAGTTCCAATCGGGATTGGCGCGGGTGGTACAAGCTCTGTTTGTACACGTGTGTACTCGTACAGCTGCGAGTATAATGAGTTCGGAATATGGGTGAACCGCAGACTATGCACAAGACCTGCGTGAGGGTCAGCTCCGGAGACGACGAGTCCAGGGTAGAGGTCGACCATGACCTGCCGAAGAAGAACCCATTCATACGGGTGAGTGCTTTGGTCTTTTAAATATTTTATAATCTTAATCACTATACTTGTGAGTTTTTAAACGAAGTTGAAAATCATGATTTGATTAAAACGGTTGGTGGGGGTAAAAACACGATTTTAAATGATCTAAATACTCAAAATGTTGTGAGTTTTTAAACGAGGTTGGAAATCATGATTTCATTAAAATGGTGGTGGTGAAACACGATTTAAATCATCTTCCTACTAAAAATGCTCATTTTTCCACCTCTCTTATCCAATCTAGTTTAGGTCGACATGACATAGGAAACTTGTTGTTTTACTGTTAATCGTAACCTTCCTTGAGAATAAACACCCACATCCGGAAACTGGATATGTAAAATACAAGTTATCGCATATGCTTCGCATTGGAAGGGAATCCGTGTTTTCCCCAGGGAGCACCCATAGTTATATAACACTATGTACTCAATAAAACACATGAAAAAGTATTATTTGATTATGTTACCAACCAGTAATTAGACATACTATCGTATTGATTTTTTTATTAATATTATACAGCGTGTCGTTACCATCGCGACAATAAATGAACACCCATATAGGGGAAAACTTTTTAAGGTTGAATTAAACATTTAAACATCAATATTTACAGAGTTATTAAATTTTCCAAAACAAAGATTTTTGCATAGGAATGGGTTGAATGAATTTAAAAGAGACAAAACATACTGTTAGAAGGAGAGGCTTGTAATGCGACGTTGTGGCGCGAGTTGTATAGGATGTTACAAATTTTGTTTCTTTTTTACTTAATTAGTTTGTTAGAAAAATATTTTTTTTAATTATTGATTTTGTTTAACGTTAATATTTTTTTATGCTTATTGGCAAGTAGCGTTAGACGTGTCTTCATTTATTGTCGCGATGGTAACGACACGCTGTATAATAACAACGGCTTTTAAAGCGCTGTATGCGCAATTGACAAGCGGCGTCATAAACGTCGCTTACAAAAGAAGAGATAAAGTCCTAAGAGGATAATAATGCTGTTCCATAAAGAAGTTTCTCTTAATAAGGTTTAAAGGATTTCGGATAGTAAAGGTAAACTCGAAAATACACCCTTACATGTACCTTTACTTATATAAAATCATTACATATAAATATATTAGGTCTTTACTTTTTCTACATGTGAACTATATTAGTTCATATAATTACCAACAGTAGTAATGAATAGTGAACGACAAATGCACCATTGCTCTTTAAAAACCACGGAGGACATGCACTTGTAGTTGCAATAATTCAAACACTCATACAGTTAATCAGATATAGTCACTATACTGCAATGTAATGTTTGTTAGATGAAATACTCAAGCGAAATACATGCGACTGTAGACGGTTTGGTTGGTTCCCAGCGACTGTTCGTTCGTCTGTTACAACAAAAACATCGCAAATGGAGCAACGACCTGGCAAATCGATCGGCTCACGTTCGGGCCCATTGTTAAGTGGGTTCCCAGCTGTTTGAATCGTATGTTCAGCAGTGGGCTGAGATCAATAAACGGAATGACAACATCAGTGACGATTTCTTTTATTTACGCGAATATTGTACATAGTTAAATAAAAGCATTTTAAGGATTCTGAATCTGGGGCTGCGAGTCATGGGAGCCCGAGTCACTTGACACTGAGACACGGAACACTTACGCCCGGTTTCTGAAACACTGATCACCGTAGATGTCAAATAATCAGGTGCCAAATGGATTTCAAATTACAATTTAGGTACCAAAAGGATGGTTAAACTCTCTGAATTGACCAGAATGATCTTCTTAATGATCAGAATGATCAATTCAAAGAGTTTAAACATCCTTTTGGCAACTCAAATGACATTTGAAATTCATTTGACAGCTGATTAGTTGACATCTACGTTGATCAGTGTTTCAGAAACCGGGCGTGAGTCTGTCCGCTGATCTCGAACGCTGTAAAGTGTTGAAATCGTAAGGGTCAAAAATCAAAATAAAACGCGATAAAACCCGTTAAATACTTTCATTACTAAACGACTACATAAATATCTCAACTTTTGAGCTGAAGACCACATTGAATTCTCGCCATTTCGCCCGTCTTTAACAAATACTAGTTTGATAGTGCTGAATATGATAAAGTTAAAAAGCTAATCGTCACGCCAATGGCGGTCGGCAAGCCATTTAGCAGATTATCACTAATTAGGCGGTTTGTGTACCAGTTGTTAGGTTAGGTTAGGTTATCCTGATGAATTCTGAAGATATTGTGCGATATTTTAACACTGCACGTGACGAGCTTCGCGTTTAAAGCCCGGGGAGGCCACCGGAAACACTGCAGTTAACACATATCCGTCAGAGTTTTTGGGTGACGTTTTTGAACAAAGGAAAGCATTGCTTTGTGTTGGTTGTGGGGGAATCGCAGAAAAGCTTGTTAAGATCATAAAAGTTACACATGTTTACGTGCGTCACTGGGCGTATACGCTCAAGCCCGCTATATAGAAAATTAATAGAGAGAGTAGGCTTTTGAGGAGCGAGAGTATTTTATCACCTACGGCTACATAGCTACTTACCTTTTGTTGTAAAGTAACAGCCTATACATGTCCCACTGCTGGGCAAAGGCCTCCTCTATACAGAGGGTATCAGGGCATAGTCCACCACGCGGCCCCACTGCGGATTTGCGGACTTCACATATCTTCGAAATATATATATTTTTTTTTGTTTGTTATTATTTCGAAAATATGCAGGTTTCCTCACGATGTTTTCCTTCACCGCGGAGCACGTGATAAGTCAGCACTTAAAGTTAAAAACTTCATTGGTGCCGGCACCGGGGATCGAACTCAGGTTGCTCGAGTATATTGAATTAAAGGCGAGCGCCCGGACACTGAGCTATCACGGCTCTTTACTACCTTTTGTTGGGATGTGTAAAAAGATTCCTTGATAAAGTAACAGCGAAAGTCTGTCACGATACGTCCGAAAGGATCGCAAAGGATTTGCGCATGAGTGATGACACATCGGACAACACAAGTCACCACCGCGTATTCATTGGGACGTGTAATTACTTTTTAAACCAGATGACTCAGTTGCAGTTTATCGAACGGAACGACTGAATGTCGAAAGGTCCTTCGTTGTGGTTTCATCAAAATTTTCGAGCTTACTTTTAATGCTTTTCACGGCGCGAACAGTATCTATCATAAATGTACATCGTCTCCACGCAGTATCAGGAGATATCACGAAGTATCCAAAGTATCTTCTTCCTTCTCCTGCCTCAGGTGGGGTCGGCCCAAAATGTCAACGATTGACGGTTAATGACTTTGGCTAGGTTTTTTACAACCGGCCGCCTGACGTCTTGAGAATGACCACATAAGTCAGGAACTATTAAACGTGGTTAATACAGATACTTGTTCCGAGTAGCATCAAGCCCATGACCATCGGCGAAGTGGCCCGTAGCTTAGAAACGACACCACTGCAAAGTATTAACAAAATTTTTAAAAGATTCGAATGAGGTAGAAAAGTTATTGGTGAACCAGGCCTTGATGATTTATCCTGCTGGACAAGTAAGTTTTCTCTGAACTGAGGAAATACCGTGGCTCCAAAAAAACCAGCGTACTCGTATAGTACAAGAATGCCGTATTCAAATTCGGCAACGCACTCGCTAGCTCGTTTGCTCTCGCCTAAAAATAGTAAAGTATATATTAAATACCAAATTTTAATCGAAAGGAAAGCCGAGCGTTCTAGGTTTTTTAATTACGAAAAATTTACATCCCACGTGATCAGTAAAGGGCTGTGCAAGCAATCTAAGCCGAGTTAATTCGCAAAACTTGTCCAGGATCTCAACGGCCGTGCCTTGAATGGAAGACTGGTCTTGGAAAAGTTTATTCTGTGGAACTGGCAGAAAGTGGTCGAACACCGTGTCGCTTGAGTAATTAGCCCTGCGTTACTCAATACGAGTGAAACCACCCGTCTTCTCACGCGAATTTGTTTCCCAATGTATCTGTTGTATAATCATGACAGTTTAAGACGTCCAACGACAGAATTTGAGCATGTGAACTATCTTAACCTGTGAGTATTTCCTTTTGCATTCCTTCAAAGTAAATAATTTTAAAGCAAGATAAATATTATCGTTTAATCCATTCCAGGCAATGACAAATTCAAGGTACAGCGTGACTAAGAAGCAAACACGCAGACCTTTTACACATATGTGCCTATGTAATTAGAATTCCAGAACAAGATCATAAGGTTTAATATGACTTTGATATGTTGCGAGTTTCAAGAAATCGTCTCAATTAAATAATATTATCTATAATTATATCTTTGATAACTAGTTCATGTGTCTCTCAGGAAATATCCCACCGCAATATGCGGGGACTCTCAATTTTTTTATCCACAGTTCCCGTGTGGAAATTGAACCAATTGCTTAGGAACTGCGTCGTCGAGATATAATATAAAGGGAATAAATTAACAAACTGGGCAATTTTAAGTTTTCTTATTAACTTCTAGTTGAAGTTGTGATAGTAATTATTGATAATATTTTAAAGACTAATCATACAACAAAAGATTTTTTCTTTTGTTGTATGATTAATTTTAATAAGTTAAATAATAATTGGTATTAGCATTACTTCGCTGTGTATGGCTCAGATAGGCATATAAGTATTATGAAACTAAAAGGCTAGCACTGAAAATCAGCGCTGTATAATGTAAATTTGTATAAATATGTAAAAATATTTATTATTTTTTCTTAGAATTCTCCATGTTTTGGACGCTTTGCAACATCAATACTTTTTGATCAGACAGCGCGGTTTAGGTTACCTTCCAAATTGCAATTAGGCGCACGATTTGCGGGTTCAATTCCAACGAGACAATTTTTTTTATTATAGATACGAAGTTATTTTGAACCTTTACTACGAAGTTATTTTGAGTGTACTTGTTTTGGGGTTCCGTACCCAAAGGGTAAAACGGGACCCCATTACTAAGACTTCGCTTTCTGTCTGTCACCAGGCTGTATCTCATGAACCGTGCTAGTTAGTTGAA